AAAGGCCACTTGCCTGTAAACCCAGTCTTTCTCAGTCCAAGGCACTTTCCTCTGTTCCCAGGCCCGCAGCATTGTTCAGCCAAAATCCTGGTCCCTTCAGGAGCCCTGCTGCCCTGCAGCCATGAGCTCCTCACTTCTTGGTTGCTGGGGAGAGACTACCTGACTACCAGTGTAGGCTCTGGGCTTATATAGCTCTAACCTGAGATCTCTTCCAGTTAGGTGGGTCCCTCATTAGCTCTCCTCTATCACCTGCTCTCTTAAAAGAGCAGGCACATCCCAGTGCAGTGTCCTGCTACAGTTACCCAGAGAGGCTGTGGACTCTCCATCCCTGGAGGTTTTTAACACCTGGCTAGACAAAGCCTTGGCTGGGATGATCTAGTTGGGGATGGTCCTGCTATGAGCAGGGGGGTACACTAGGTGACCTCCTGAGGTCCCTTCCAATCCTAATTTTCTATGAGTCTATGATATAAAAAAATTTCAAACATTTAAAAATGTAGCTAGAAATTCAGCAAGATCAATTCTTTCATGGAAAATTTTGTTTTCACTTAATTCATGTTTTTGACAGAAAAAGTTCCTTTAGCTTCAATGGGAATTGAGGGCACTTGAGACCTTGCATAATGACATGTATAATACTCTTTGAACTCTGACTGTGTAAATTAACAGCTGGGATTATAAAATCTAGGAAAAAAAGCTAGATAAATCCTAGTTGAAGAAAAAAAATTAAGATAGGCATACAGCGGAAAAAATGAGCCAGTCCTCCATTTTTGTTATATAGAGTAGAAGCATGATCACCAGATAAATTTAAATGCAATAATTTAGAAGCATTCAAATGAAGAACTACTACGTGTAGGGTACAATCAGCCTGTGGTGCTCGTCTCCTCACTAGGTCACTGAAGGTCACATTGCGGCTGGATTTCTAAATGATTCATATAATTTTATGACCATTATTAAGAATTAAAGTTAGACAGGCTAAAAAAGAAGCATAACTACATTTCATGCTGCAAAACATAAGATCATTATCAATCAGGAATGTGATGGTTAGTAAGAAATTTTTTCTCATGCATAACTGCATGGGCAAGTTCATTCATCTTCCTTTAAAATACCTGCTACTGGCCATTATCAAATCTGTACGCTCACCTGCTTCAATAAAAGCATTTGTATAAAATATGTATTGTAAATACACAGTAAAAGTCAAATGATTTAATAAACAATGTAAAAATACTCTGCATACCAAACCTATCTTATTATGTAACGTTTAATTTTATTTATATAACAATGGATTTGGGCATGCAGTTTATTTATAAGATGGTATTACTACAAGTGTCAGTTGCCTTGATTGCTATGAAAGCGGTTTCAATAATTTTGTTAACTTTACGGATGAGAGCTCAAGCTTAAATGCACATTTACCAAGCTAGTACTACAAAGGACTGTTTGTAGCACCCATAAATAACACTGCCTCTGGCTCTTCTCAGAACTCTCAAAGAGTGGGAGTTTGGATTATGTTATTCATGACCTTTTTATCTCACCTTAAGTGCTGCAAGAGGAGGGCATTGGTGCTGATGATCTCTTCCTAAAACACTGGACTTCCCTGAATTATTTTTAATTGAAAAATCAATTTATATGTGGCAACAACTGCGATTCAGTGGTGAAAACTTAATGTCTTTAAAACAAACTAAACAATTATACCACAAGACAAGATTCAATGTGGACAGAACTCAATGCATCAAACTTCACACTATTTTCTTAAAAGCCTTTCTTTTAGGCTAAGTATAGACAGTCAAAAAGCCCAGGGCTGAATTGATTCAACCTTTGCAGGTTAGTCTAAACTGTGTAGATTGAACCAATAAGCAAGTAAACAGACATTCACTTTTGATTCTGAAAATGCAGCCACATGCCTGCGGTGGCCAGAAGCTGGGGGCGCTAGACTATGCCTCCTTGCTCCACTAGAGCACACAGCTTGGGTAGCCCACCCAACCTGTGAGGGGGGTGTAGCAGGGGAGGTGCAAAGCATCCAGAGATGCTGGTGGGACTGAGAGTTAACTTGAATCTGGAGGGGATCTGGGACAGAAGTTCAATAAACTGATTTAACTTAAATTAGTTAATTCTGATACTACATCCATCCAGGTTCATCTTAAACCAGTTTTGGCCATTTAAAAGCGGTTTACATGCACTGAACTTCTGTTGTGTTACAGATTTGAACTGGTTTCTGATCACTTATACCAGTTTATGTGTAATTTCTGTCCCTAGCCTTACTTGAGATGGAACTGAAATAGTTGTCAGACTTATCTTAAATCTCCACCACTGCTTCACACATTTCAATTTCTAGATATGGGTTTAAAAAAAATTAAATCACACCTTTTTTCTCCATATAACCAATTATGCCAACAATGAAAAGTCATAGTGAATTTTCTTGCATGGAATATCTGGTCATGTGGCGTCTTGAAGTAGAAGCACCATACCAAACAAACTTAAAACATATACTGTTTTCTGGTGATACTTCAGACATACTGTGAGGACAGATAAAGCAGCAAATGCCATTACAGATTAAAAGAAATACAAAACTATATATGCCAATATCCTGCTGTTAAAGAAAAAACAGGTCAAATCCCATAGCACTTAATCAGCTTTTATTCATACCAAGTTTTCATTAACTGTGACACGTGGAGGAGACTTTGCAGGGTTAAGTCTGTTGCTGCTGTTGAAAGTACTGAGAAGAGAAAAAACTGCTCAGAGTTCAATGAAAATATTGTCCAACATTCAGAGAATGTTGAACTCTCTCAAGTTCATCAAGAAAAGATAACCTACTCTGCTAACAGTTTTCTCTTTCTTTTATGGACAAGATTTTTTTCTAACTATATGCCTCTTCGTCAATATACTTATCGTTAGGAGAACTTGATATGTGTAGTGCATCACTACTAGTTCTCCCAAACCTTCTTCTTTACATGAACAGGCGCTTTCTAGTTGGAATTCTCTGCTTCAGGAGATACTGCCTAGGTTCACTAGGTTTTACAAGGAAAAAAAAACCCAATAAAATCTGGCTGAATTCTAGACCTCGTCAAAACACCTTTATTGAAATCACAAAGCTTTGTGGAAGTAGTGAGTATATTTTTGTTGTTTTTAAGAACAATTAAAAAAAATATTTGAAACAAGCATTTTTGAGGGTTTTTTTTAAACTTTCTTCTTACAGTGTTTTATTTGAAATTTCCCCAGCAACAGCTTTCTGTTTTTGTCTAGTTCCAAGTACTAGTGTATCAAATGATGCAACTAAAATTAGATGATAGGTCCTGCTCCCACATGTGAACTGATTGCCAGCTTGGAGATTGATCCCTGCCATAACCTATTAACAGTAACCTTGGGCATTTGTTCATCTCCTGTAGATCACTGAGTGAGAGCCATTCTGAACAATTCCTATAGTGTTGATGTTGGTGCACTTCAGACCTGTTTATGTTCATCTTAGTCCCCCTTACCCACATGTTACTTAAGAGTGCCATTTTCCCTTGTTTCTAGGGAGCAAAATGACAGGTCATAGAAACTGAATAATAATGCTGGAAACAGAGGAATAATGTCAGTTAAATTAAATCCATCCTAAAAATTTATACTTTGAAGTTTTTGTAAAGTAAAACAACCCCCCATAACAACAACAATTATTTTTCCCATCCCTTGTAAACTCTGGAACAGCAATCATCTCTTACTATATATTAACAGTACTTAGTGCAATATGACCTGAGTTCCTGTTGAAGCTTCTAGGCACCACCAGAATGCAAGTAGTTAATCTGAGTGCTATTTCCAGTAACTGAGTAAAACACCAGGTAAAACAAACATTCAACAGCAAGCATAAAATACACAATGGAGCATTTAGTACAGGTACAGAATATCTGCTAGTACAGGTTCTTAGCCAGTTAAAATTTAATTTTTACTTAAGCCTACAGCAAAAAGTACAGTTCTTCCAGTATTTTTGCGATCATTGGAAATACTACACCATTAGTAAACTAATATAGATTGTTGCCTCCAAGGTTGCCTCTTCAAACCTTGTTTGAAGACACAATTATAGGACCATAATTAACATACCAGGAGAAGAATGCTTGTAGTTTGTTCTCTCTCAAGTTTTCATTCAGTCTTTGCTGCTTCAGGTTAAGTGTTAACCTAAAAGTAGAATAATAGTAGTTAAAATTATTTATGAGGAAGGGTAAAGTAACTGCCTCAGTTTATTTATGCATACTAAAGACACTAATCTTAGCATAACACTTTTCTGTTTTTCTCATAATATTCATGCAAAAAATACAGCTAACTTGCGCATATTATTATAGTAGATGTTTATAAAAGTGAGCCATATTCAGCCAAATCTAAGATGCATCTCAACACAATTGTGGTAACTGCATATGAATAAGGAATCCAATCTGCGCTGGCAATTTTTAATACACAATCATGTTAACCGAGCTTTGCAAATCAGCCTCTTAATAAGTTCTTGTTCTTCAATTTAATTTGGGTATAATGGTTCATCCTGTTCCAAAAACAAAACAAAACTCACTTTTCACCAACCAGGATTTAGTCAGGTGCTTATAAAATCAAGTATTTAAAAGGACATCAAACCATAGTAGAACAAATATTGAGATTTTTAAAAATCTTTTGAGTATGGAGTCATGTTATAAGATTTAAATGTGCATACATATCAAATCACTTATAAAAAAAAAACAAAATAAGTTTCATTGTCAAATAGGCAGAGCAGTAAATTTTGCTACATATGCCAGACAATTAATGCTGCCCTCTTATTACTAACAGGAATGGAATTTTGCCAGTAATGGATATACTCTAGCAACAAAGCTAAAATAGAACAAGTCTTTAATTTTGTTGCAATGGAGTACAAAAGATTTATTCTAGAAAAGCCTTCCAGAATTTGTCATCCTATAAGTAAACAGAGGAGTCATCTTTATTTGGAATGGAAATGGTTCATGTTGTTCAAAATATTGGTTCTCAAAAACTAGAAAAAATTGGGGAAACATATTTTTCCCTCTACAGCAAATGGAAGGAATATAATACAATATATATGAAAAGTTCAGCTCCAGGAAGAAAAGAAAGGGAGAATGAGCACCTCTCTAATAATGAAAAAATGCTAAGGAATTATTTTTCTTTAAGGGATTATTCACACTTAACTGTCAATAAATACCAAGACATGTTAAAGAAAGCATTAATTTATTGTAAGATAACTTGCATCTGAATTATATAGTATTCTAACAAGAAATTCAAATAACTGAAGTGAGTGATACTCATGTTTTGTGTTATAGTCTGCAAAGTCTCATGTTTCACATAGTAAGAAAAATGTTTATTAAAAAAACTTACACAGTGAAAATACCTGAATCACTGAGACCTCCATCACATCTTTCACTAAGTGTAAATAATGGGGCTCTACATATTCCATGTGAGAGACATGGAATCTACCAACTCTAAAGTAAGGGCAAACAGGGGGCTAAAAGCACATCTTCTCTGCAGTTACTCATCTCAACTTACTGGCTGGAATAGCAGCCTCATGGCATCTCCTTTGCAGGAATTTTGGACAGCAGTATAACTAAGGTGGGACAACTGGTGTAGCAGCCAGAGTAGGGGGTGGGGAGTTGTGGTGAAGGGTGAGAGGACAGAAAAATTATAGCTGCCATTGCAGTTGCTGGCAACATCAACAGCCAGAGGTCACTGCTGCCCCCATGTGTTGCTGCTGCCCCAGGCACCCAGTTGCCTTGTTACGCCTCTGATTTTGGACCTTGGGTAAAATGATGCAGAGTATTGATGCCTCAGTAGGACCAAATGTTCTCTATGCCCAATGATTTCAAACACTTGAGCAATTACTGCCACTAAATCCATATAAATTTCTAAGGTTTAGATAAATATGTTGGCACCAATCCCTCCCACAAAAGTCAAAACTTACATCGACTAATGGGAACAAGAACAAATTCTGTAACTCTCCCTGTTAATGTAACGTTCTTCAGTACTTAATTCTTGGCTCTGGGAATGTAGTGTTTAAGGGTACAACTCTGCAGCTCCTACTAATGCTCAGTACTCCTGTTGAATTTCATCAGATAACTATGGGCAAACGCAGCGGGATGAGTAAGAGTTACAGCACTGGGTCTACACTAAACAGAAAAGTTTGAGTAAGTATATAGCATACACTACACCATCCTAAAATACTAACAATTATGGAATAAAAGAAATTCCAGCCTAAGAAGCCAGACTTCTGATATTCTCCAGGTTCTTTGGTGGAATGTTTGCCAGACAATAACATTATACTTTGTTTACTTGAGGTGAGATTGTCCTACCCCTCCATGAAACTTGTCAAATAAAGAGTGTATATAATATACATGTAGCTAAGTGCAGGGAAATGTAGGTTATTTCCCAGAGGAACTCTTGGACTAGCTCCTCTAGCTGGATTTTCAAGTCTCCTATAGACTTCAAAGGAAACCAAAGAATTCCCTTTTGCACCATAGGATCTTAGCATTCTTTCCTTGCAAGGGGAAAGCAAAACAAATGCATAAAATTCAGGCATACATGGAAAAACAAAACCAAAATAAACATGCATTGAAACGCATATAAGAGACCTTAAAAAACACAACAACAAAAAAACAAAAACAGAGTTCTCCAAGTTTCTAACTGAATGTTACTGAAAGAGATTAGGATATGAACCAATTTACTTGAATAGTATAACTAGTGGTGCTCAGTCTCCCACCCATGCACATAATCTAACCAGCAGGGCCACATCATCCAGCCTGCAGGGCTCCCCACGGGTCTGGTAATTTGGAAGAGGAGAACCCATGACAGCATTAACTGCTGTGGTTCTCACGGTGTCACTCCATGGCTCAATCCAACACATGAGGATGGACCAGCATGTGGCACTCCTCCACAGCCAAATCCAGCATTTCAACCCCATGCTGGATCTGACCCATGGACCAACCTGACACGTGCACCAGCCTCATGCAACTGATCACACCCAGAGGTTGAGCACTATTGGTTTAAACCAAGAAGCAACTTGTGCTTCTTGTAACACCAATTGTGCAGCTGTTAGTAACTTTTCACACATTAGTGAAAAGCTTTGTTTAAATGAAAAAAGATTTGATGGGCTTTAAAAAAATAAAAACAAAAATAATGGAATGGAATGGAATAACTTTTCAGCTCCAGACTATGTTTTATCTTTCAGTCACCAAAGTCTCTGGCTTCAGCAAAGATATCTGCTTAAGTCAGAGATTCCCAAACCTTTTGGGTTACACTCCACTGTGGTAAAGCCTGGGACTCTCACGTATTCCTAATTCAGGTTGTAACAGGGACTCAAGCAGGAGCCCTGTTACTTGGGCTAGCTCTGGGAGGAGTGACCTCCAAATGCACCCTGCTAGGTGGAGAGGATTTCACACCTGGAAAGAGGTTGGATAAAACCAGCAGCAGGACATTTACAGATTGCCTTTGGGCACCAGAAGAGGAATACGGAGGTAATTGAGACCCTAGAGAGAAATAAACGGAAAGAAGTCTAACCTGTGACTGGGAAGGACATTGTGTGCTTTGGACTACCTGAAGATTCAACAGGTTAGATCCTGACGAACACTGATACAAGAATAGTGGTGCTGTGGTGAGTCTGGAGGGATGCTGAAGCAGCAGGAACAGGCTTGGCAGAGAGCTGAATAAAAGACTTGAGTCTTTGGGACAGTGTGTGGGGAAACAGAGCTTCCAATAAGTCCCTGACTCCACAGGACAACAACTGCTTAGGAAATAATCAGAACTGTGGAGGAGCTGCAGGGAACCGCCCCTGGCACTAGCTGTGGATGAAGAACGAAAGACGCGGGGATTGCATTATGCTAAAGAGGCAATTAGCAGTTTAGATTAGTTTAAACAAAGTATCCCCAAAAATTTCAGTTCAGGGTTTTTCTCACTTTTCAAGTCAACTACCTTTGCCAATGAAGTAATTGGTAAGGGTACTGTTACTATATCCTCTACTTTAAAAAATAAACCTTTGATTTGAGCATGTAACATCTGGATTCTAGTCTTTGATCACAGGCTTTAACAACTTACTGATCTCCTTCCTTTTCTTATTAAATTTAAGTTGTGGCAGGTAAGTACAGGGAAAACAAGAAGATATTACCCAACACGTTTATACAGGTCACTGCAGCTTCCCTCACCACCAATTGTCATGGATTTCCTGTGCCAGCAGCAGCTGAAGTTGGGTGGAAGCAGCAGCAGTACAAGAGTGGCTGAAATTGGTGAGTGAACAGGGGCAGCAGACAATGGAAGCAGTTTGCAGGCAGTGTGCTGGGAGCAAGAGAAGGAAAGGGAAGAGGAAGAAGAAGAAAAAGGGGAAGAGGAAGGCACTAGGCACTACATACTGCCCTGGGAAAGTAAGTGATCCAGGGCTGCCTGTGTACCTGGCTTGCTGAGGGTTTGTTTGGTAGGCTGTGTGTGTTTTGGGCATGTGCTCTGAAAAGCTGAGAGTGTTGCTAGCTGAGTGATTGCTGCCTATGCTTAACAAAGGTCCCAGTGGGGGGTGGAGCCAATCCATGCCCAGCAGGGTATAAAGGAAGACTCCCTGAATGACCAGGGAGAGTGCAAATGGGGGAAGCGGTTTGCTGGCGGTTGGGAAATCAGTTTGCCTCCCCTTCCCCACCTTTGAGGGGGAGCCTTTAAGCTTGGTAAGAGCAAGCAGGGAAAAAACAACCTTTTGGGACCAAGTAACAGTAAATGGGCCAGTTTACAGGTAAGTCTGCTAGGGAAGGTGTGCTTGGAAGAAGGGCAGTAAGACCAAGAAGACAGATTAAGAGACTTAAGGAAATGGCTGCAGGGTGTCACAATGCCAGAGCCACTGCCTCTGCTTGCAACTGTGATGTGACTGTCCAGACAAACTTGCTAGGAAGAGACAGGATCCACCTGAAAAAGAGAGGGATGAGCATCTCTGCAGACAGGCTTGCTAACCTAGTGAGGAGGGATTTAAACCAGGTTCTCCAGGGGATGGAGACTAAAGTTCTGAGGTAAGTGGGAAAGTAGGTTACCTGGAGGAAGCACAAGCTGGAGTAGGCAACAGGGGAGGCCTTCTCATTTGTCCTGAGAAATCAGGGCAAATTGGCTAGTTACCTTAGGTGCCTGTACACGAATACACAGAGCCTGGGAAACAAGCAGAAAA